GCTCACGAGAAATTTCTAGCCACAGAAGAGCACCTCCAGTCAGCTGTGACAACCGCGACACAGTGGCTGAAGGATTGGCATCTCCTGGTCAACGAAAGTAAGACCACTGTCATCCACTTTCACCACACCAACCGGCCACCTCCCAGACCACCATCAATCAAACTCAACGATACCAACCTCACTGTGGCCTCAAGGCATCACCACCTTGGCCTCCTCATACAGCAGAATCTATGCTGGAACTCGCATGTTGACTACATCATCACTGAAGCGACCAGGAAGATGTTCCTTCTCCTGCGACTACGCAATTCCCTAAACACTTCTGCTCTCTCCTCCATCTATCTAACCTACATCCGCCCTATTCTTGAGTATGCTTGCACTGTCCTCTCACCCCTCCCCGCAACCCTGAACGACCGACTTGAGCGCATCCAACGGCGCGCCGCTCGCCTCTGTTTGCATCTCCCCCTCTTTGAACACAGAACCCACTCCGTGCTGCTGCACCGACTCAAATGGCCATCACTCAGCAGCCGCCGTACCCTCTCCCATATCCTTCTTGCACATAGCCTGCATCATAGATATGCACCACCACACCTTCTTGCAATTCACCTACCCCGAATACAACCCATTCGCACGCTCAGGTTCCCCCGTACCTTTGAGCTACCCACAACACGTACAAACCGGCTAAGGGACTCCCCCATCTATGCTTCTCTTGATCTCTTTTTAATAGCATTCCACTCAGCCTCCGGCATATCAACCCCAGACGAGATTTCAAAGCAAACATCCTACCATTGTCATCTCTTCTGTATGTACTTGCTCACATTGCTCAGCACATCTATAGCTCCATTGCGCCCAGCCTATGTGATAAACTCCCTATTGCCACCGCTACTGCCTCAGCAAGCAGCTAAACTTTGATCTCTCTGTATCTGATCCCCGTGCCTGTAATTATTTTTCTCTTATTGGCCACAGGCCATCGTGAGAATAAAAGATTTCAACAACAACAGCAGCAGCAACACTCATAAGGCCAAGCAAGGAGTACTAAAAGCCCCTGAGGACCAGGCGTAGCAGCTGGTGTTTTGGACGGCTCTGGAAAATCTGTAACACCCTGGCAAAAAGACTAGCCTACGGAAGTTGACGAAGAGCAGAGGTGTTTAAACGGACTACGTAGGATGGTGATTTTTCACATGCTGCTACTGTTGGAACGACATTCAATGCAGGGACAATCACCGATCGTCTAGGTTTATGTTCAATCGCTTGCAGTCTTCGATGCGAACAGGAAGAGTTTCACAAATTATTCTCACATTGTTCTGGACGTGGACATAGAGATCAAGAGGAGCAGAGTGACAATGGTGCTGCTCACAAAATTGCTTTGCCGTGCACATTATTATTATTTGGCCCGCAATCTGCTAAAACCACCCTTCGGTGCTGTGTAATTTTTCGGAGAAAATGATGAAAACGTCAGTACGTCTCGATTTTCTCATCATCGCAGGTGACAGTCATGGCGGAAGGAGAACGAAGGCGCTTGTTCGCACAAATTGTTGTCGGATTCTCGGCAGCGGGGTCGTCAGCACTGCCAAATGACGATAGATCTTTCTTCGTGTGGTCAGATCAAGATTCTGACGACCAGAGCATTGACGAATCGACCGACGCCTCTCCGCTCGTGACCCTGCCGATCGCGCTTGCGATCGATGCGGAGGAGAATTTGGACGAGGCGCCAGCGCTCCAGCCAGCACAAGCCCTAGCCGCCAGAGGACAGGGCCAACCTAAGAAATTCCGTGCCCAGGCACCGCCCAGCACTGTTGAAGAGGCACAGGCGCGAGTGGACAAGGGCTGCAGTTGTGCCGATGTCAACTGTTTCAAGAACGTGTCACGGGATACTCTACTCACTGCACGCAACACAGCGCTCGCAACGACGAACCAGGAGCTGTACTGTTACGTCGCTGGAAAGCTCGATGTGTTGAGACGACGCGGTGCAGTTGCTTCTCACTATGGAAGCATCGCACAACGGATGCAGCGCGGAGAAAGGTCCGGTCCACTTATCGCTATGAAGTGGATGGTGACGAAGTGTGCCAGACTGTTTTCATGTACGCACATTATGTAAAGGAGTGGAAGCTAAAACAAGGCGGGATGTCTATGAGTATGACTCTACTATGAGTATGAGCATGCTGTCGCTCCCCCTCAGCACGCACATGAGGGTACTTTGCCCTGCCTGGAATGCCTTGCCTGCAACTATGGTGACATCAGTGGACTTCCCCAGCCTGCTGCCAGGCCCAGAGGCCCGCTCCAATTACTTACCTGCCAGTGCCATGTGCTACTACCAAGAAGCATGTGCATACTGAATATATCAAGGCTGGAGGAACAGCAGCATACACAACATTCCTGAAAATATGGAGCAGCAAATGCAGTGATGTGATAATAATCAAAAGAAGATGTGTGCAGTGTATGTTCCGATCTGCAGTCTCAGATCGTAAGGGCAAGAACAGCAGAAACTCGCTTAATTAAGCACACTGACGCACTCAAAGCTCATATTGATGAAGCTAACGCGGCCCGTGACCTTTATAAAAAGTCACTACTGCCTGGCATCTGATCATCTGCCAGTGACGCTCGAGACGGCTGGAATCTCACGGCAACGTGCAAAGTACTTGCACCAACAGATTCGTCAGCACTGCCACGCAGAGAGCAGAGATATCACCTGCCCAGCACCAGACCAAGCAGAGCCAATGTCCTAATTATTTGTTCGGAACATACATAGTAGAATACTGGATAACTGTGCAAAATAGTTTTTCTCTGTACATAGACAGGTGTATGACAGGTGTATGAAGCCTCCGATGCGAATTATAGTGTGAATATCAATTATTTTCGGCATTTTTATGCACCAAAAGCTTGCATAAGATGGGTCATATTTCAATGAATATATACAATTTGAGCCTAATACTTCACCATATGTTTGGGCAATGGCCAGGGACCAACTTCCCGCCAAAAACTCATTTTCGGCAAAATAGCACCAAAGGGTGGTTTTAGCAGATCCTTGGCCATTTCACCTTGTGAGCAACCGTGCATTCTGCTAGGACTCTGTAGGTCTGACGAAGAACTCCTGTTGCACGTGGAGGTGAGCCTGAACCAAAAAATGATAGCGTCTTGGCGCCAACGGTGACATTTAGAAATCTTATCATTCCTATCGCCTCACGACCAGCATTATTTCTCGCAGAAGCCCAGCCCTCTTTTTATTTTTACAAGAAACCACGAACCTCGAGAACAGCATACTGCATGATAGAGGTGGTTGCAGGTGCAACTGTGGGGCCTCTCTCTCTGTTTGCCGTTTGTGAGCCGCTAGTTGAATGTAGAAATGTGGCAGTGATCTCGCGCATAGGAGCAGTGTAGGACATTGCCACCAGCTCAACATCTCCGCATTATGCAACCTAATTTCCACGGCACGCCTTTAGGTTTGTGGCGGAATTTGCCATTGCATATCTGTCGTCAATTTAATTGGACGAACTGTTGCTCTCCTCGCCACTCCACACAACAACAAAAGACTCGTGCAAATTGGGAGAGAGCGTTTTCTCTAACTTGATTTCACAAGGCGACTGGAGAACTGCGCTCCAACAAAACGGACAAGAGAATATATTATGGGGACGTGGAGAAAAGAGGGGAAAAAGCGGGGTGAGGGATACGAAAGAGGTGCCTGTGCAAAGTACAACAAGGCCTGAACAGGACGGGAGACAAAGACGAACGACGGGGAAATACGACGGACACAAGACGGCAACCAGACAAATACAACGAAGACAAGACGAGAAAATGTGTATGCAACGGGGACGAGATGAGAAATAATGCATACGAAGGGGACAGAAGACGGTGCAGCGGCATGTACAAAGCATTCCAAGACAGCGCAGCGGCGTGTACTACGGGTCAGCAGCATGTACGACACAGAGTCACATACGCAGCCACGTGAACGACAAAAGAGACACAAGCGCAGCCACATGTACGACAAAGAGCTACAAGCGCCACCACATGTACAACACTATCCCCAACCGAAAAAAAGACATCCACTCCTGTGGATGTAAGTGTATATATAGAAAAACAAAAGAAGACAGACCGGAGAAGAAGACAGAAAGACCGGGGAAATGAAATGTGAAACAACATAAATAGGCGACAATAAAAACACAAAAGAAGTGGGGTCACGACTGTTGAACGCATGACGAGTAGGCCAGGAGGGTTAACACCAGTCGGGAGCCCCGCAACGGAGCAACCGGGAGAGAGCACTCCGACCCCGTCATGGCGAAATAGACGGTAGTCGGGGCCGCGGTGGCGCGAAAACTAGAACGAGAAAGAAAAGTATGCAACGGGGACGAGATGAGAACTAATGCATACGGAGGGGACAGAAGACGGTGCAGCAGCATGTACAAAGCATTCCAAGACAGCGCAGCGGCGTGTACTACGGGTCAGCAGCATGTACGACACAGAGACACATACGCAGCCACGTGTACGACAAAAGAGACGCAAGCGCAGCCACATGTACGACAAAGAGCTACAAGCGCGACCACATGTACAACATATCGTAGGCTCAGGCTTCCAATGACTGTAATAGTGGAATGTTGAAAGGGAAGGTCACAGCCAATCAAGCTACTCATATTGATCATTGTCCACAGTGACAGGGATTGAAAAACGTCTGTGTGTGCGTGACTGTTGGTGATCACTTTGATGTTCTGCATGTGTGCGTGTGTTCGTTTGCATGGTTGTGCATGTGTGCGTGTGTTCGTTTGCATGGTTGTGCATGTGTGCGTGTGTTCGTTTGCATGGTTGTGCATGTGTGCGTGTGTTCGTTTGCATGGTTGTGCATGTGTGCGTGTGTTCGTTTGCATGGTTGTGCATGTGTGCGTGTGTTCGTTTGCATGGTTGTGCATGTGTGCGTGTGTTCGTTTGCATTGTGCTGCATGTGTGCGTGCGTTCGTTTGCATGGTTGTGCATGTGTGCATGCATTTTTCGTTGTTTGTTTCCCTGCTGAACAGTATGGTGCTACAAAGGTCAGGAATTGTACTTAGAAAGGTGTGGGTATAACCCTTTTTTCAAGAGTGTGACACTCAAGTGTTTTCGCCATAATTGTAAGTACAGTTGGTCAACTTTACATAGGCAAATTTACGTAGTGCATGACTTCTCTGATAATGATTGGCTGATGGTCATGATATACATCACATTTTATGCATTTTCAAGACTCAATAGAGGATTTTCAGGGACTATTTATGGAAGGAGTACTAGTAGCAGATCTTCTGGTACTGCAGCTATGGCAGTACAGAATCGTCCCGTTTCCTGGGGAATGCAGAATTTTCCTCAAATAGTGCCTCTATCTCTCTATCTCTCTCTCTATATATATCTCTCTCTCTCTGTCTCTCTCTCTGTCTCTCTCTGTCTCTCTCTGTCTTTCTCTCTCTCTCTCTGTCTCTCTCTGTCTCTCTCTCTGTCTCTCTCTGTCTCTCTCTCTGTGTCTCTCTCTCTGTCTCCCTCTCTCTGTCTCTCTCTCTCTCTGTCTCTCTCTCTCTGTCTCTCTGTTTCTCTTTCTGTGTCTCTGTCTCTCTCTCTCTCTCTCTCTCTCTCTCTCTCTCTCTCTCTCTCTCTCTCTCTCTCTCTCTCTCTCTCTCTCTCTCTCTCTCTCTCTCTCTCTCTCTCTCTCTCTCTCTCTCTCTCTCTCTCTCTCTCTCTCTCTCTCTCTCTCTCTCTCTCTCTCTCTCTCTCTCTCTCTCTCTCTCTCTCTCTCTCTCTCTCTCTCTCTCTCTCTCTCTCTCTCTCTCTCTCCTCTCTCTCTCTGTCTCTCTCTGTCTCTCTCTCTCTCTCTCTCTCTCTCTCTCTCTCTCCCTCTCTCTCTCTCTCTCTCTCTCTCTCTCTCTCTCTCTCTCTCTCTCTCTCTCTCTCTCTCTCTCTCTCTCTCTCTCCCCCTCTCTTCTCTCTCTCTCTCTCTCTCTCCTTCTGTCTCTAACTCTCTCTCCTCTCCTATGATTGTAAATCTGCCCCTTCCAAGTGTCCCAAACAGCTTTTGCTGATGACTTAGGCCTCTATAGCAAATCTAGTGCAGGTTGTCAAAAACTCATTGCGGTCACGAGGACTTTCTCTTGTGGACCCAATGTATGCAGGCGGCGCCGCACAAATGCAAAAGCAGTGCAGCAAAGCTTGTAGATGGCCGGTACAAACCTTACGATCCCTGCCTGACGATGTCAGGGAGGAAGATCGCTTTCATTGACACCGAAGACACCAAAGAGTTCAAGTTCCTGGGGCGAAGGCTGCATGCTGATTGCTCTGAGCAGACCCAGCGGGGAAGACATCCCGTCAACTCACTGTATCTCTCATGCAAAAAGTAGATGGCTCTTGGCTTCAAGACCACCACAAGCTATGGCTTTACCACCATCCTGTAGTGCCCAGGCTTTCTTGGTCTTTCCAGGTTCTTGAACTCACACAAGGTTTTGTACGTGAACTGCACTTTATGTGTTTACCATTTCTGAAGAAATGGTCAGGCCTACCTCGATGCGCAAACTCTGCCATTCTTTTTATTGGCAGTCGCAAACGCTTTGGCTTACGCCTCCACTGCCTTCCTACGGTGTGGAAAAAGTGCCAGTCCATCAAATGGCACATTCTTCGATCGAGTGGGGACGCGCGCATGAGGGCGCTGTACACTCTGCGTCGGAGTAAGGATGCGAAGCTGACAAAGCGATATGCGGCGACAATAGAGCTGGAGTGTGCAGAGGCATCAGTAGGTTCAGGGACTCTCCGTCCACCGTCATCTTCAAGTCATCGTGCAGGGTTGGGTGCTCGTGCTCCGAAGCAGCATTCCAAACCCCCGAGGAAGGATTTCCTTCAAACATTTCAGGAGATCAACGCGCAGGAGCAGATTTTGAGGCTGAAAACTCTTCAGGTGCAAGGCAATTGGTTGGAGTGGACATCGGTGATGTGGCAGGACCTCTCGTGGAAATCACTTTTGTACGGTGGTACTGGAAAGGATTTGAAATTTCTTCTCGCATCAACCCTCGACGTGCTACCTTCTCCGACGAACCTACGCCGTTGGGGAAACACCGCAGTGGATCCGTACTGTAGTTTGTGCCGTGCCTGGGCCTGTACTACGCGCCACGTGCTTGGTGCTTGTCGCGTAGCGCTGGACCAGGGACGTTACACCTGGAGGCACGACAACGTACTCGGGGTCATCGTCAGGAACATGCGTGAGGAGATTCAAATCCGCACTGCTGCAAACACCGTACAAACCGAAAATTCAAATGAGCTTGACTTCATCTCGTTTTGCAAGGCGGGAGAGAAGCCCGTTCGCGTTCAGCCCAGACGAAAGTTGGTTACGACTGATCTCCTGTCAGCGGCCTCGGACTGGAAACTTCTTGTTGACTCAGTTAGTGCAAAGATTTCTTTCCCTAGCTGTGTTGCACTTACCACCCTAAGACCAGATATAGTTCTGTACTCTACGAGTCGTAGGATTGCATTCTGGATGGAGTTGACAGTTTGTGCTGAGGACAGGTTCAGTGTCAGTAACTCACGGAAGGACAGGCGGTATGCGGATCTGGCCGATCAATGCCGAGCAAATGGGTGGCAGGTCGTTTCTTTTTCGGTTGAGGTAGGTGTGCGTGGTTTCATCCCGGACTCTCTTCGGAGGGCTCTGAAAGCGCTTGGGTTTTCTAATCGAAGAATAAAATTTATTTGTAATTTGTGCAGTAAGACTTCTCTGCGAAGCAGCTACATCATCTGGTTCCGACGTCACCAAAAACACTGGTCGGAAGATCCACTTTTCTGAGGTACTGTATGTGGGGCTCCGTTTATTGAGGTGCGATGAAATGTATTCTCTTTATCTTATTATTTCTTTTCTATAATTTCCCCATGTGAGTTCCTATCAGTTGCTGTGAACACCTTGAGTTGAGAGCGCTTGCTCGAGCGTTGAACCGGGTTCTTAATCCACCATACCCAGTTCGCAAGGCTGGGCGGGGTTGTGAGCAGGCTTTCATTTCATCTTTTCTTATTATTTCTTATTATTTCTGCTTTTCATCTCATTACCAAAATTCTGCGCATAAAATCTAGACTGACAACCTGCTTGTTAAATCATGCACCTGCTTTCAGGCGTAAAAACCCTGTTGTAGAGGTCTCAGTCCTCATTTGTTAGACTTACCTGTCTTTATAAATGTAACTTACTCTCTCTCTCTCTGTCTCTCTCTCTCTCTCTCTCTCTCTCTCTCTCTCTCTCTCTCTCTCCCTAACTCTCTCTCTCTTTCTCACTTACTCACTCTCTCTCTCTCTCTCTCTCTCTCTCACTCTCTCTCACTCTCTCTCTCTCTCTCTCTCTTTCTCTCTGTCCCATGTTTTCTTTTCAAACTCTCTGCTTTCTTTCCCCAGGTGTTTCTAGATACCCGCTGGAGAAAAAGCCAACACCAGGTAAGTACCTGCAGCCAATGACGGCCAAGCTTGGCCAGCTTGGCCACACCAAACATGACATGTTACTTGAATAATTTCAACGTGATAATACTATCCCTTTGTACGCACAAACTAGGCTGGTAAAGACGTTGATAAATAGCTTCCAACACATTTAACGTTAGTCCGTAACCATGACAATCACGGCACAATACAGTAAAACAAGAAATCTACTCACTGCTGATTAACTCAATCTGCTCCTGCAGCGCTCACCCTCTCCCATACTTGTCAAATTCAAAATGACGTAAATTACTTTCCAACTCCATAACCCACAGGCCCACCCACAGCATCTCACCTTCTCGTAAACTTATCTCCAATTGACGATAGTGCAATCGTGAGAATAAAGAATTTAAACGAATTGAAACCATGAGGACTTGTTACAAGATTATTGTACACAGAAGATTTCCTGCTGCAAAACCAAAATACAGGAATACGACTCTCACCATCCATCTCACGTCCACTCTCTCCTACGCTGCTCGACTCTCCGCATTTATCATTATCGGTTCCATCATCCATTCCATCATCCGATTCATCTGCCGACTCCAATTCTCCTCCGTCCCTTTTGACCTGATCCACTTCACTTGGCTTCGCCATCACACTCCTCTTTATTCTTTTGGGGACTGTATCGATTCTGTCACCCTGTGGTTGATAGTCTTGGTCAACATTTCCAAACAAAATCGAGGACCCCAGTTGCCAGAACCCTGAAGTTTTAGAACTTGCTATTGGCCCTGTTTTAGGATCTATATGCAGAGTACCATAGGCAAGGCCCAGTAGCGCTGAATGGGTTAGCCGTATGAGCTGCCTGGAAAAAACTCACTGTGAACTCGAAGAAGTATTCTGTGCGAATGCATGAAAAATTGAAATGACCAACTCACTCCCGTACGTCTGGCTTACAACAACCAGGACCTGTTCTTCCTCGCGATATGGAGGAGATCGAGAGAGGAGATGTCGAAAGTTTGGTAAATGTTGAAGCGCGGCATACGTCCCATTTCGTTTCGTGATTTTAAAAATACAGTAGGTATCGGTTATAGCGTGAGTGTTGAAAAACGACTTTCGATTCTTATTTCCAATATTTTTTACACACGATACATCAAGTGTGACATATGTATGTGGGCAGGGGCAGGAAGAGCATCGTAGATCTACGTGCAACGTAGTGCTACTGTGCATGCGGCCGGTCATAGTCCCATAGGCTTACCATGTGGCTATCCAACATGATTTACATGACCACAACAGTTGAACCTGCAGCACTACTACGCAACGCGAGTCAGATCGGAACTGCATTGGACGGATGTTATTACTACTTTGTACTAATCTGGTATGTTTTGCTACACAAAGTCCATTCTTAGGACCGATATATTCTACTATGCGATAAAATTGCTTGTAAGAATAAAAGTGCACTTGAAACCCATGTTATGATTATGGAAACATGGGAGTTCATTCTTGTAGGCGGTATATTCTTTTTCACGACCACGCTATAACCGATACGCACTGTAGTTTCTTTGGAGCTTCAATGCATTTACTCTCCGCACCATGTGACGAAAATGGAATGGCCGCGGACTTATTCTCAAGGCCATGGTTTGGCAAAGCCATCCGTGTAACTGCGACGACTTTTTTTGGGAAAAGCGGACGCCAGTGTGAAAAGCTGATAGGAGACTCCAAAATTCATTTAATTTGGCGATCATGAAATGCTAAAAAATTCTCAAGAAGATGTCAATCGATTAGTGTGCGTATTTCACACCTAGCTACAACTCCCTTCCTAGGACCATTCTAGACCATAGGAAAAGGCAAATTCGCTTCCTTGTTATTGAGCACCTCTGCTCGGTTGATCACTGTGAATTAAAATAAAATCAACAGGCACAACAAAAGGCCGGAAACCTGGCCGATATCCACAAATTCTGCCTACCCTGGCATTGCGAATAGATGATATGCCGAATAACGTGCAACTAGACTTGAGAGGGCATCGCACACAAGTTGCATACACATTATACTACAATGTGTACATGGTAGGCCCTGAGCTCTGCAGGAAGACAAGACACAGGTGACGTACAACTTTGAACTTTGTGTGCAACTGCTCTGCAATGCCCTCCCAAGTCTAGTTGCACGTTATTTGGCATATCATCTATTCACTGCAGACTGCTGTTACCATTTTCCCTTTTTCATATGTCTAGATCCAGTTCATACTATCCAGTTACTGCGCTATAACCAGAGTGTCATGGCCAACGTCATCCGTCCAGACTTTTACGTGGATTTCCCCGGCTACAGTTTCGACTTCTCCCACTGTGCTATAATCAATGACGCTCATGTGCTCCTGCGACTGACAAAATTCCAACCTCAAGTCAGCGTGCGTAGTGTCAAGTTCACCCTGCAGGAGTCTGAGGCCATCATAAAGCACCTTGCCAACTGCTCGCGCAACACAACTTGCTCTATGAACTGCACTACAGGGTTTTTCCAGGGCAACATCGACTTATTTGCACCAGACCAAACGCAGGCATTTGATATTAAACCTCTTTGGCTGCAGGACTCATCGACCCCTCTTGGTAAGCAGTCTATGTTGCCGTTTTGTTGCTGTTCTGTTCTGTTGCTGTTCTGTTGCTGTTCTGTTGCTGTTCTGTTGCTGTTTTGTTGCTGTTTTGTTGCTGTTCTGTTGCCGTTCTGTTGCCGTTCTGTTGCCGTTCTGTTGCTGCTCTGTTGCTGTTTGTTTGCTGGTGCTGCTGTTATGGTCGAGGAAGCCTGTCCGGGGAATCTCCTTAGCCTGCTTGAGCATATTGTGTGTAGCTCAAAGGATCGAGTGATTTGATCTTTGTGTTGCTTCAGATTCCCTTGGCAATGTCTCTGATTCCGGGCTCACATTTCAAGGTAAATACAATGCCTTTATGGATTTTGGAAAAACTGTTCAGTATTTTGCTTATCGTCGCAAAGTTGGTAATACCCTGTTCTGTCCTGTGCTTGTGTGTGTGTGTATTTGTTCACTTTATCAGGTAATGACTGAGAATACGTGTGTGTGTGTGTGTGTTTGCGTGAATTTGCGTGTGCGTGTGTGTCATTTTTGATTGTGTGTGTGTGTGTGTGTGTGTGTGTGTGTGTGTGTGCGTGTGTGTGTGTGCGTGTGTGTGTGTGCACGCATGTTTGTGCCTCTCTTTGCGCATGTTCTTGCGTGTTTGCCTCCAGTTCGGCTAGCTAAAGCACAACCTTTGAATTGTAAGTTTGCTTTGTACCTTCATCCTGTCTTCATTGGTTCTACGAAGAGTACATAAGCGCCGAATAGTGTGCGACTCTGAATACTATACTGTAAAACGACAAACTTTCGCGGCTTTGGCTAAATTTAGCGTTTTAGCAAACTGGACCAGTTAGCGGCGATTAATTTTAGCGATTTTTACCTTCCACCGAAAATCAAAGAATTTTATTTTACGAAGCCTCGGAGTGCTGGGCGCAGAGTGCATGAAGAATGAGAGAAGAAACCAAAGAATGAAAGAAGGAATCAAGGAATGTAAGAAGGAATCAAGGCATCAAAGAGAACCATAAGGTAAGTACTAGTACTGGGAGAAGGGATGGCACGTTCGACGAGGGATCATCGGAAGACTTTCTCTTCGAACTGCTGAGCCACTGCGATACTCATCGTGATGAAATTCAGAAGACTTCTTCGAGCAGTACAACACTAAAATCTACTAGAACGCAACAGCAAGCTGGCCAAACGCTCCAAGAAGTTCAACAACACTCTCCACAACACTGAGACATTCTCCAGTCGATCGTTTTATTCTCTTGTGGTTCAAGTCGCCGTACTCCAACGACAACTAATGTTTGTTACTTGCAAGACTGGTGACTGGTGTTGGTACGTAACCCGTCGTTGCAACAGCTGCGCGCTTTGGTTGGACATAGTCGGCCGTGCAAGCATCGATCAGCGCTGTGAATGTACAGTCAGTGCAGTGAGTGATGCATGCGCATGTACGAGTCGTACTGTACAGATCTGTTGCAAAATGGTCGATCATCGACGCATCGCATAGTACGTAATACTATAAATAGTACAAATTTCACATTCGCGTGTCAAACTTTCGCGATTCGACCCTGCTCGCGAAAGTCGCGAAAGTTAATCGCTCGCGAAAGTTTGTCGTTTTACAGTACCCTTTTATGGGGTCTCGAGGTCTCACATTTTTGTTTTGGTCCCTGTTGCCACGTCATAAAACAATCGTCTCGCACATGCAGTGCTCTCCAATCTCCTCTCTCTCTCTCTCTCTCTCTCTCTCTCTCTCTCTCTCTCTCTCTCTCTCTCTCTCTCTCTCTCTCTCTCTCTCTCTCTCTCTCTCTCTCTCTCTCTTCGTCTCTCTATCTCTCTCTCTCTCTCTCTCTCTCTCTCTCTCTCTCTCTCTCCCTCCCTCCCTCCCTTTTCTCTCCCTCTCTCTCTCGTATATAGAATCGAATACTATTTATCGTGTTTCTGCCCTGTACATGCCGCACTTCCCTTGTCCCTTGTCTCCTTTTCTTGTTTATTGTGCTTCACTTCTCCCGACCTCAGCACTGGCGGGGGAGTACTGTAGCTAATTTTTGTGTCCGGTTACTCATTGCAGCCGTAGTCTAGGGCCGACGTAAAACCGTCTAAATATGTGCATGTGTGCGTGTGTGTGTGTGTGTGTGTGTGTGTGTGTGTGTGTGTGTGTGTGTGCCAGCTAGTTCGGTTGGTGGGTACACTTATGCCTGATTGTGTTGGGTCTGTTGCCAACAGGCTCGGCTGCTTGAAGGTGTAATGTTGTACCTGCCACCTTTGTTGGTTCCAGGGTTCATATACTTTGTGTTTGAAGTATACATACTTGTTAACCATGGACTGCTTCTGGCTAGATTAACTCTTGTGTAATCAACGGTGCTAGTGAAACTTATATCAGATCCACTCTGATTTAGCCACCCACACTAGTAGCAAGTAGTATACATTCACTGGGGGCAGGGGTAACTGCAGTTGGATCCCAGGACGGACACCCTGATGCCGTGAATCCTTTTTCTGCACCTTGTCCTCACCCACTGACTGAGGTGTGGTGAGCCCATAAGTGGGATCATTTTCAAGTCCACCCAGAGTTTTTGGGGATTTCAGGGGTGTCGGCCGTTGGGCGGTTCAATAGCCAATTGAGTCATCTTTCTAAGATTCCTTTTGAGTCTCTCTCCCCTCTCCCGGGGAGACCCACATGACCAGTTTTGGCAGTGAGCAACAAGTACAAGTGTGTATATGTGTGTGTGTGTGTTTGTATGTGTGTGTGTGTGTGTGTGTGTGTGTGTGTGTGTGTGTATGTGTGTATGTGTGTGTGTATTTTGTATGTGCATTTGTCTGTGTGTGTTCTCAGATTGGGGATCTGGAAAAATGCGGCTCATCAGCAAAACAGACGCGGTTATCCTTAATTTGACACTATGGGGCTCTAAGATAAGAAACCCAGGCAGTAACTCATCCAAAGTTCTACAGGAGATTTCCCTAGCTAATTCTTCATGTACTCTGAGTGACTCCAGCCGCTACAAGTATAGCTATAGGTTCCAGGCCGAATCTTTGGGTGTTTTGGACAGCGACGGTTACTTGGAGATTCGACTTAATCATTTGGACAGCCTGGCTTTGAAAAACGTGTATTCCAGTGGAGTGTGTAACGCGTCTGTTGGTCCCCCCGTCTGTTTGCTGGACTGTGAGGCTGGCATTGTCACCTATAACCAGACCACCGTCTACCCAGCTTTCAGCTTGGTGTTATACCCCTTTCAACCAGCGGTAGATGAGATTGTACTGCAGCAGCCTTTGTATGAATGTGAGTTTAATGTTCTTTTGTATGAATGTGAGTTTAATGTTCTTTTGTATGAATGTGAGTTTAATGTTCTTTTGTTACTGTTCTTTTGTATGAATGTGAGTTTAATGTTCTTTTGTTACTGTTCTTTTGTATGAATTTCAGTTTAGGGGTCGTCCGTAATTATCGAAAAATTAAAAAATCCGTCCTCGTGCAAAATTGTCTCTGAAACACCCACCCACCCCCCCCCCCCATTTTTTCCCATTAATTAAAAAAAAAAAGAACTCCTGACCCCATGTTCACTGATCGCACCTACATGTACATGTACATGTATATTGTAGTAGCTAAAATGTCAAGTACTAGTAGCTATTAATTAAAGTAAGTGAGTAGGAGGTCTACCGACGGCCATGCACGTCCTACAACTACATGTACATGTACATGAAGAGGCATGTACCGGTATATCATACTGGTGTTTGCGATCCTACACTACGTCTACAGTGCACTACATGTCAGTGCAACAAGTGTACCAAAATCACTGAAGAAAGAAAAAAAGAAAAAGAAAAAAAGTACGAAAAATCAAAAAAATAAATTCCGCCAGCGCTCTTGACCACCCACCCCCTTTCTGCCTGAGGACGGATTTTTTAATTTTTCGAAAAATACGAAGGACGACCCCTTATTTTTCTTTTGTATGAATGTTCTTTTGTATGAATTTCAGTTTAATGTTCTTTTGTATGAATGTGAGTCTAATCAATGTTCTTTTGTTTGAATAGAGAGGTTCCGGAGTACGGAACTTATGTGTTTGCCGTCATTGCCTAGGTTACGATCGCAAGCACGTCACAATCCCGCGCTATGCATTTTTTTGAAAATTTAGGTGTGTGTATGTGTATATGTGTGTGTATGTGTGTGTGTATGTGTGTACGTGTATGTACGTGTGTGTGTATGTGTGTGTATGTGTGTGTGTGTATGTGTGTGTACGTGTGTGTACGTGTGTGTGTGTGTGTGTGTGTATGTGGAGACTCCAAAATTCATATAAATTGGCGATCATGAAAATATATTATTAATGCTAAAAAATTCTCAAGAAGATGTCAATCTATCAGTGTGTGTATTCCACACATGGCTACAACTCCCTTCCTAGGAGCATTCTAGACCATGGGAAAAGGCGAATTTGCTTCCTTGTTATTGAGCACATCTGCTCGGTTGGTCACTGCGAATTAAAATAAAATCAACAGGCACAACAAAAGGCCGGAAACCTGGCCGATATTCACAAATTCTGCCTACCCCGGCATTGCGAATTCACTGCAGACTGCTGTTACCATTTTCCCTTTTTCATATGTCTAGATCCAGTTCATACTATCCAGTTACTGCGCTATAACCAGATTGTCATGGCCAACGTCATCCGTCCAGACTTTTACGTGGATTACCCCGGCTACAGTTTCGACTTCTCCCACTGTGCTATAATCAATGACGCTCATGTGCTCCTGCGACTGACAAAATTCCAACCTCAAGTCAGCGTGCGTAGTGTCAAGTTCACCCTGCAGGAGTCTGAGGCCATCATAAAGCACCTTGCCAACTGCTCGCGCAACACAACTTGCTCTATGAACTGCACTACAGGGTTTTTCCAGGGCACCATCGACTTATTTGCACCAGACAAAACGCAAGCATTTGATATTAAACCTCTTTGGCTGCAGGACTCATCGACCCCTCTTGGTAAGCAGTCTATGTTGCCGTTTTGTTGCCGTTCTGTTGCCGTTTTGTTGCCATTCTGTTGCCGTTTTGTTGCCGTTCTGTTGTTGGTTTGCTGGTGCTGCTGTTGTGGTCGAGGAAGCCTGTCCGGGGAATCTCCTTAGCCTGCTTGAGCATATTGTGTGTAGCTCAAAGGATCGAGTGATTTGATCTTTGTGTTGCTTCAGATTCCCTTGGCAATGTCTCTGATTCCGGGCTCACATATCAAGGTAAGTACAATGCCTTTATGGATTTTGGAAAAACTGTTCAGTATTTTGCTCATTTTATCAGGTAATGACTGAGAATATATATGTGTGTGTATGTTTGCGTGCATTTGCGTGTGTGTGTGTGTCATTTTTGATTGTGTGTGTGTGTGCCTGCGTGTGTGTGTGTGCGCGTGTGTGTGTGCACGCACGTTTGTGCCTCTCTTTGCGCATGTTCTTGCGTGTTTGCCTCCAGTTCGGCTAGCTAAAGCACAACCTTTGAATTGTAAGTTTGCTTTGTACCTTCATCCTGTCTTCATTGGTTCTACCAAGAGTACATATAGTCCTAGGGCCCATTTGAAATTTCTCACTTTTACTTGACACATGTTTGCTAACATGGATTTTATGATCATTCCTGGAAGGTTTTTGCCTCCTGAACACGATGGCATAGGTTTCGATTGCCGAATTGTGTCCAAACATGGTGAAAAACATCAAAATAGAAAAGGCCGTTATTACCATGGCAACCTAACTAGAATTGCTCCTATATCCATTTTTACTGACACGCATATGGCCAAGTAGCACCTCATTTTGCTCAGAATGAGCAGTAGATACAGTACGGCGACAAGTACTGTACTTTTACAGTATCAAAACAAAATTTACAAAGTGCAGTGAAACTTGGCTATTGGACATGTACATGTACATTACATGTCGCGTCGAATGTTAGCATTGAGGTACGTGTACATGTATGTGCAGCTAGCAGGTAGATGAGACTATTTACAGGCATGCATTACTATAATTATCAGACTGCAAACACGAGAGAAGCGTCAGATGGTTCGGCGTTACACTTCAACTGGGAGAATAGGTATTGTAACCCAAGTACTGACAGGAGAAGGAAAAAGTGGTAGGAAACTGTCAGAGTCTAAGGAACGAAGTGCTATAGCCTATAGGACACTTTCAACCTGAACTAATTTACTCGAAGTACGTGTAGATAATACGATAGATCTCGCAGCAATGTAAGAAGGACAACATTAGTCATTACTTATATGCAATGGCAGTGCTGTAACGAAAAAATGATGAAAATGAAAATACCAAAATCCTTTGCATACTAGTAGATAAACAGTCCAAACATTGGCTAGCTTGTCACTATACTTAAATGCTTTGAAAATACCTCAGGGCTGCAGTTGGACAACACTCACATGTGAATAGCTGCAGTTTAAAAAGCTGATCGACCCCAACATTGTGATGCGAATACTTTCGCTTCCATGTGTTTCACTTTAACTGAAGTTGTTCTTCCGTCTGAGCTTTGGAAACTCTACGCCGTACAGCTGAGCCCATCTCTACTCCGCCGCCTACACCATCAATGTTTGCTCTGCAGTCAGGGACAATTCTTTAGCCACTAGTACATGAGGTATTATATAAACATGTTTTCCCTCTTCACCGCCGCTCTTGAATCGCATCAACTACGTGCCGTGATCAGTTCAGGAGAGACAAGCCATGACATTGGACATCGGACTCTTTCTTGCAGTTAGTGTTTTATAAGTATAACTGCAGTTTCACACTGCCTAGGCCCAGCCATCAAATTCTGTGACAAGGAAATGATTATTCTACTGCTGGTGTTGCATATTGTGATAGGTTACCTCCAGGTACTCGGATTTCGTTTTTGTAACACTCCACACCACATAGCTACTCCCTCTCACTGCAGCATGCCACTCCTAAGGCAGTTGTCCTAGAGCTGTTCAGCTGGTAAATAGGCTTTGTGCAAATGGTAGCTGATCACCACGGTCGGTGTGTTCAAATCATGGTACTAACACTAGCCGCTCTTGTAGATTCGAATGAAATGCTCGTCCACTGTAACACCTCCTGTGCAGCAGTACTCACAAAGTAAATGCCTTCATTCCAGCCCGATGCAGTTAGCCAGGTCTGAAACTTTCCACGGTTGTAGATTAGTCCTATGAATAGTTACAACTGGCTTGGCAAGCTATAATGACCTTTCCCCTGCTTTACACACATAATTGTGCTGCTCCTTGTTGGAATCATGCCTACTTTTCCGGGGAGCCAAGATGACATTGTAATGAAGATTATGCTGAATTTAGCATCGATCCATTCGTGGACGTTCCGACAGCAAAAGCGCCAGCGAGTCAATGCAAAACTTTGAAGAAAGTGTCCAAACGAGTAGGTACCCTATTTCTGGTATGTCACAACTGCACTACTTGATGCTCAATCTTTCCAACTCTCGCACAAAATCAGTGTACGCGTCGGTTCGCATCCTGTGTATGTACGGTGTTACTATAGCTCCTGGCACATAAAGGGGTAAAAACTCCCAGGTCCAGTCAATATAGTACCGAGAAAGTCTTGAAAATGCTTGAATATAGCCGATGAGAACTTAGTTTTTTCGGCAATTTTGTATTCCTATCGAGGGTGATTTCGGGACCTTTGGACGCGATTGGACACACCATACTTGGCCAAGATGCTCTTGAAGACATTATCTATCAAATAACACCGAAAAATCCTTGTTAGCCAACATGTGTCAAGGCATGTATTTTAGAGGTCGATTTTTTGAATTGGCCCCAGTACTAATAACCCCAAGAGTGTGCAACTGCCTGCACAACCTCTATGCTCTGCTGCGACGGCAGAACTTCACATCACGCGACATGGTTCAAAAGGTTATGCTGGCAAACAGTGCAAAGTGACCACAAGAGAGTTGTACCGAAAGCTGGGCTGCGTACAACCCAGTGTCTATCATGCACAGAGTGCACGGGTTCATCACGAGATGTGAAGTTCTGCCGTCGCAGACCCCATAGCTGGAGTTGCACACTCTTGGGGTTATGTACTCTTGGTTCTACGAAGAGTACATAAGCGCTGAGTAGTTTGCGACTCTGAATACTATACCCTTTTATGGGGTCTCCGGGTCTCACATTTTTGTTTTGGCCTCTGTTGCCACGTCATAAAACAATCGTCTCGCATATGTAGCGCTCTCCAATCTCCTCTCTCTCTCTCCCTCTCTCTCTCTCCC